GGGGGGAGGGGAGTGGGGAGGGGGAAGGGGGGAGGGGAGGGGGGAAGGGGAAGGGGGGAGGGGAGGGAGGAAAGACCTCGGCCAGGCCACAAGACATACTCGATTGAGTGGCAATGCCCACTTAGCAACTCGGTATCTTCCAAAGCACTACGTGTTCTCGCTTGTCGAGTAGTTGATCAATTTGTGCTTGGTTTAGGGTCCCAGTGATCCCCTAAAGAAGGAACGCTCCTCCATGATGCCGTACTGTTGCAACCGCAGTCGTACGGCCAGCTCGGCTTTCAGCAGGTCTCCACTTCCAGCAAGACACTCGAAGCCGTACGTATCCAGTTCAGTGTCATGAGCATGGAAGTTGCGCTGAAGAGTACAACGAACCTGTACGGCGCGCTGGGGGAATGCAACTACAACGGGTCGGCATCAATTGTTGCGGGCGGCGGGATGAGTGGTGAGTGTGGCTGTGAGTGGCTAAGGCTGGAGATATGGCAAAGAGGCGGTGACCGTGCTTCAAAACAGTCTAAATGTGGGCTTCATTACGGTTGTATTTTTTTCTCAACGAAATTAATGGAGGTGTTATCATGGCCGACATCACTGCTGATAAGGTTTAGCCGCCCCCAGAATAGGAATAATAATAATAATAATAATAATAATAAATAATAATAATAATAATAGATAATAATAATAATAATAATAATAAATAATAATAATAATAATAATAATAAAATTTCGATGTCCGGCCAGGAGCCAGTATCAGTCAACCGCCAATCACTAACCATCAACTGCAAAACCTGGTCAACCGCCAACCGCAGGTTCGATCCAAGGCATCGCTTCAAACGGCCTCGATCTCCTGTTCCAGGAGGTCCTCGTCAATGCGGTGATTGACATCTGCCAGCCTGAAATAACAGGTGCTGTGCTGTACACGCTGAACATGGCCATGTACGACAGTACGACACTTCCGTCATGCACGCTGTCTGACGTTAACATCCTGGTATTGAACGTCCAGATATTTTACAGATCAAAAACGTCGTCCGGTGATTGGGGTGACGAGCGGTCAGTGTTTGAGAACGATGGGTTCACAACACTAACACAGAAGACGGGCTGGCAATGCCGTACGGCGCAGATGGAGGCCGCGGACGTGGCGGCGCTGGCAGACGTAACGCCGCCGCCGCCGCCGCCCTCACCGTCACCGCCGCCACCCTCGCCGTCGCCACCGCAGCCGCCGTCGCCGCAGCCGCCGTCGCCCTCGCCGCCGCCCTCGCCGTCGCCGCCGCCGCCCTCACCGCCGCCGCCGCGCCCGCCGTCACCGCTGCCACCATCGCCTCTGCCACCGTCGCCTCAGCCACCATCACCACCCCCACCAAGACCATCGCCACCGCCTCCCCCACCACCACCGCCGCCATCGCCGCCATCTCCTCTACCGCCGTCACCAGCCCCTCCCTCCCCACCACCACGGCCACCACCTCGCCCTCCAGAACCGCCGCCACCATCTCCGTTCCCTCCATCACCCCTCCAGTACCACCAAGTCCACCTCCAGAACCGCCATCTCCTCCAGACCCACCAAGTCCACCTCCGGACCCACCATCCCCTCTGGAACCCCCTCTTAGGCCGCCCTCGCCCCAACCTTCGCCCACCTCACAACCCATGCCTCCCGCCCTCCTTCAGCCTCGTGCACTGCCGCCTCTCCCGCCAAACCCTCCCCCGGCATTCCGACGGGACTCGCCGCCGTCCCAAAGCTCTGAAGACACGGGCAGGCAGGGAGCGTCGCCAAGCAACGGCGGTGGCGGCGGTTCCCTCAATGAGGCCGCCAACGCAGGGAGCGGCGGCGGCAGTAGCAACGGCAGCAGCAAACGTCGGACTAAACTTATCATCATAATTACCTGCTCAGTCGGCGGCGGTGTCGTACTCCTGGTGGTGCTCAGCATGCTAGCAGTTTACCTAAGACCGGCGGCAAAGGCCGGCGGCGTCGCCGGATGGCGTCCTGTGTCGCCTTCCAAGGTGGTTCCCGTCGGCCAGACAGCCGCCAACGTCGCGCCGCTTATCGTACATACACCGGCGCCGCCGGCGCCGCCTATCGCACCGGCGCCGCAGGAGGCGGTCGTATTAGTTCCCGCCGCCCGAACCACGGCGGCGGTAGCAGCCGCGGCGGCCCTCGCAGCCGCATCCGCGGCCGCGGCCTCTGCCATCACGCCGCCGCCACCGCCGCCGCTGCCGCCGCCGCCAGAAGCAGCTACTCCAACACCTCCGCTACCTACACGGGAAGTAGCAACACTACCTGGAAAGCCAATCGATGCGACTGCTGCAGTAGCGGCAGTGCCGGCGGCGGCGACGCTGGCTCTTTCGGCAGCGGCAACGACAGCAGCGGCAACGACTCACACGGCGGTTGCAAGCCAAGGTGAAGCAGCTCCAGCCGAAATAGAGGAAGCAATGGCGGCCTCAGAAGAGATCACCACAGCATCAGACGGGGCGGCGGGGACGGCGGCGGCGACGGCGGCGACAGGCAGCTACGTAAGCTACTTCAGTACGGAAGCTGCTTCAGTAGGTGGGACGCCAGCCTCAGCTACAGCCGCCGCCGCCGCGGCGGCGGCTGCAGGACCTGCCGCGACCCCGCCGCCGCTGCCGCCGCCGCCGCCGGAGTCCAGAGCGAATGGGCCAAGCTCGTCGCCGCAGCCTCTGGAGGCTGCATCCACGACGGATGCACCAACGCCACTACCGGAGGTGGCGACAGCGGCAGCGATGGCGACAGCGGCGGCGGCGACGGCGGCGCCAGCAGGCTATCTGGCGCCCAGCTCCCCAACGAGCTACAAGCGCTTCAAGACATTCTTGCCGCCCCTGGAGCTCAAGGTGACCTCCCGAGCTCCGGCGCCGCAGTGATTCACCATGATCGCGAACAGAACGCACTAGTGTTCGGTCAGACGCATGGCAAAGAGGTTTATTGTATGTAAAAATAAGCGAGCAAGCAAAATGAACGAACAAGCGAATGAATGAATGAATGAACGAATGAATGACAGGATGACAAGATGAAGACATGCACGTAGTAGATGCCCTGCGGCAGCTGCCATATCAGATGTTGTGGCTGCAAGGCTGGCCGTTGCTGCTCGTTGCCGTACATAATACATTTTGCTGAGGTATATGCACACATGCCATACACATACATATACCTTCATCACATTCGTTAGGTATCACGGGTACAGGTACGGGTACGGGTACGGGTACGGATAAGACGGATACACGGGCAACAACGGTTTGGTTAGCAGCTGCAGCAGCTGCCCCGGGGTGATGGGCCGCAGCTAACAGCACACTTGCGCTGCTGTGCGGCACTGCGCTGCTGCAAGTTTGCCGTGGCTCTGCTCTGCTGTATCAGACAGCTGCTTGCCTGGCTGCTTATCGATGTCTACTGGGTGGTTATTGTGGTGGTTATTGTCTGTGTTATTGTCTGCTTGGATGGATGGATCGATCGAGTATTGCGTCCTTTATTCACCTGGTCGATAAGCAGGGAGCTGCTCTCCCTCCCTCCCTCTCCCTCTCTCCCTCTCCCTCTATCTATATACGCTGGCTGCTGTGATTCGTATCCCCTTCTTCATTGCAGGGGACTCATTAAAGATAGAAGTTTCGTTGTTTCGTTGCTCGCGGCGGGCAGGACTGTGTATAATTTATTATGTGCCACCTGTGGTCTAGAGATTGCTGCTCTATCCCATCATCACCACGCAGGCAAGGTAGGCAGGCAGTGTGGTCTGCTGCTGGCAGCGTGCCAGCTGCCCGTGGTGGGGATAGGCGCTAGGTGGCGATGCAGGGAGTGCGTGTGTGAAGAATAGTGAAGCAAGCTGAGCGCAATGGAGGCGCCAGGGCGCGTTCATTTACTTATTATTTTGTCCTTCAGCAGGCACATGCATACACATGCACACACACGCAGACACACGCAGACCCCGCACATATGTATATACAGACGCACAGACCTCACATATTACACGTGCACGCCAGCCCGACATTTAGTCTTCCTGCTACGGTGCAGGCCAAGGCCTCATTTATATTAGGCACCAAGCGCATGGCAGGAGCGGGGAAATGCAAGGGAAAATGCAAGGGAAAGCAGGCGCTGCTCATCTGCAGCAGGCTGCTGACTGGAAGGCGTTTGTATGGCTGGGCCAGCTAGCTGTGCTGCTAGTATATCAGTAGCTGAGCGTACACCGCAAGATTGAGTGCATTGAGCGAGTGGTATCTATCAGGTGATGCATTATAGTAGGTCCGACAATTAGCTATCTGGGCATTCAGAATCCTCGGCGGCGGATGAGCTGCGATCTTATGTACCTGCTGGTGGTGGTGGTGGTGGTAGTGGTGGTGGAGGGGCATACTATATGTAGTACATACACACACCAGTGCGTGGGTGAGTAAAAACGTGCATGGGACTTGAATCAAGGTCGGGCTCCGGCTGTCCAACCATTTCCATCCTTGCAAATTAATTTATAAATTATATACATGGTATTTATTTTCCGATCCATCACGCCCCGCTCCAAGTCTACCTGCTGCTGCTGCGTCTCTGTCGATGCAAGTACCCTCCCTCTCCTCCTCCCTCTCCTCCTCCTCCGCCACCAAAGGTGTCTAGCACCGAGAAAGTCATCAAGGAACTATGTATATATGTATGTATGTATGTATGTATGTATGTATGTATGTATGTATGTATGTGTATGTATGTATGTATGTATTATGACGTTGATTACACTGTGGGCTGAAAAGCCGGGGGCCCAGGGCCGAAGCACAGCGCGGGGGGCGGGTGCATACGGCTGGTTAGTCTCATGCACTCCGCCCCCGGGTCAGGCCGCACGGGAAACGACGGCCGGCACGCAACAGCGCTCGTTTGGCGCTCCAACTAGACGGGATCTATGCCCGTTGGTCTCCTAACATAAACGAAGTCGCAACTGGGGGGCTCTTCCTGCCGACCGAACGAACCGAGCATCTCAGAGAGCTCGCTACCAGGACCTGGGCGACCGGGAGCCCGACGAGTCATCCCGGGCTGGGGAGGTCACCAAGCTCAAAAATCCTCACGCAAAAAAGAGCGCAAAGAGCTCACACCACAAGACGCCAAACAGCCTCCTTAGACTACTACCCTCCTCCGCCTCTCCCTCCCTGGGCTAGTCCAGGGGAGATAGCCCCCGTCGAGGGGGTAACACCGCACAAGTCCGCGCCCTTCCACAG